TACATCTGCTTCAGTCATATTTCTCGAATTCAAAGTCAAAATGGCTGCTAGATATCACGTAACCGCCACCTGTGTTGTAGTTGCTGAACGCGTGGATCAGTCATAGGTCACTGTGCTTTTGTCTGTAATCCTTTGACAGCATTTCACACATACTTACGCGATTGAAACCTATACGCGGGCGAAGTCTAGTTAAACATGTGGGAAAGCTACTTATTCGTTCGTTCGTTCGTTCGTTTGTTTGTTTGTTTGTTTGTACGTCAAACCTCAAACAATATGCGTCTGGTATGTCTTGGAATGTATTACTGTGCCTTGTCTCAAATTTCCGGGCGTGGCTGCAGTTTGCTTTGCCGCCGCATGAAGTCGTAACACGGAAGTGGGAAAAACTGTGCAGAAGAATGAGCACCGCGACGGAAAATTGGAAAGGGAAATAGGAAAAGGGAAAAAGGAAAAGGCAAATTGTACAGATCTGATTACCAATGGAAATATTTGTGGCTTTAAAGCATCATTCCCTTACGATGTTTACCAATTTACTCTTGCGAGATTACGTTTTGAATTGATTGATCATTAATTATTCTAATGAGGGTTACAGTGGTCGTTGAAATTTGATCTCTGTGTAATCCTTTTGTTAGAATACATTTCAACATTTTATCATAAATAATACCAATACAGATGAACTTTGATGATAGATATTGCAAGTAATCTGTAACTGATAAATACAATATACTACAGTTCCGCGAGTCTTTAGATTGCACTGCGACAAGCCCTGTAGTCATGGAAGACGAGGAAAGTCGTCTGAAGCGCCGCCTGGCGAACCTGCTGAAGTATGAAGGAGAGGACAGAGTACGGCACTTCCTGAGGAAGACCCTCCCCGCGTCTCACGGCGCCTTCACCGCGCAGACGCTATCGGAGGTCCTGCAGACCAACAAGTCCGTCATGAACGACCTGCTGAACGGTACTAACGGGCGGAACAAGGTAGGGGAGGGAGGGTTTCATTTTGACATTCACAAGTTTCCCATCCCCAGAATGCATTACGAAAACAGGGGTCTTAACTTATTTGCATAGGACAGGAAGGCATCGTAATGACCCTGTTGACGTCAAACAGCTTGTTTTTCACTGTGTTTTGAGGTGTTGGGGCATTTTATGCTCAACACTAAATTACTATGGGTCGAATCTGACAACAAATAGAGAATGAAGTTTTAGTGTTCTTTGCCTTCGACTGAAGGCTATGCCTTCGGAGAAGGTTATGAAATCGGGTTTGCACTGTTTGGCAGATTAGGCACGATAACTCTTGAAGGCAAGGTCCGAGGTTCACGATTTTTGGCAGGCAGGTTGATTTAGGGGTGGCCATTGTCAAGGCTAAAAATGGGCTTCGTGGGGGGTTCCTAAGTCACTGTAGTTGACCTTGGTTTTTGGTGTTTTTTCCTTGTCATCAAGATATCTCGAGAATCCTTAAATGGATGTTCATTATTTTTAGTGGGCAAGTTACCGTTGAAAATGCCGAGGTCAAGTTCAAAGATGGGCCCCGTGGGGGTTTCTATGTCACTGCAGTTGACCTTTGTTTCTTGTGTTTTTTCTTGTCATCAAGATAACTCGAGAATCTTTAAATGGATGTTCATGTTTTTTAGTTGGCAAGTTACCATTGACAATACCAAGGTCAAGTTCGGATATGGGCTTCGTGGGGGGTCCCCACGTCATTGAATTAGAAAGTACTGCAGCGAAACTTCTGGTTTTTAAATCTCGTGATATGGACGTGCTAGGGTCATGATTTTTAGATGGTAGGTAGCTCTCGTGCTCAGAAAGAAGTGCCGTAAGTTTGGGCCTCGTAGCAGCTTATTTGGGAAATGCAGAGGCATTTGTTTGAAAATGTTTGAAGTAGGATAGCTCAAGAACCGGTTGACGGATTGTTGTTATTTTTGGTATCTCGGTAGCTTAAGTGATGCTTGACCTAATTAGATGACAATTATGCAAATCACAATCTAATTTACATAATTAATGACAAAAGTCTATAAATCTGCTGCGTTCCATGATAGAACAATTGAAATGGTGGCATATTTAAACAAGAGGAAGAGGAACATTGACAGATATTAATTATGTAAATTGTGACCCAATTTGATTAATTAATAAGAGAAATCTATATGTCTTTCATACTGCACTAGACCTTTTTGGTTTCCACCCTCTGTGGATTACATTGCTTTATGCCCACAAGGATAGCTGGAAAAAACTTTCCTGTTTGTTGAAACAACAGAATCCTTGCGAAATTGGCGAAAGTGGCGCTTAATGCTGCATTAATACTGAAAGTTTTAATACTGGGTTAATGCTGGGTTAACGACTCGGCCAGCCTTCAAACACACATAGATACATCATTCATAATGTACAATGTAGAAAAGGCAATCTTTCTTTTTATTAATGTTTGTTACATGTACTGGAGCAACTGCATAACTCTTGTAAAATTTGTAAACCCTGACACAAGACTGCACAAATGTACACGCTAATGTTGTAGGGAATACAGGAAACCTATTCATATCTAGGTTAAAACAACAAGTTACAGACAGGAAGCTGTCAACATTGGTTTTAGTTGAAAAAACGTTTTCTTTGAAATTGTTTGTTGAAAAAACATTAGTGGCCCAGTGCCCCAGCAGAGCGTGCTTTATTTGACAGGTCTGTGGCCCCCAGTGTGAACATCTGGAATTAGCCTGGTTGCCAGACCCATAGCACACTGGACACAAAGTATCTCAGTTTGGCACCCAGGTAAATCTGGAATATGGATAATGTGAATAGGTTTCCCGTAATACCTACAACATTAGCATGTACATTTGTGCAGTCTTGTGTAGTACATTTGTGCATATCGTATCGTAATGCAACAGGAGTTAAAGATTTAAACCCGATATAAGGTCACAAACTTTGTTTTAATCGATAACATAGTTGGTATACTGTACACAATGGCCAGGTCACTAGAAGGAAGTGGTCTGAACGCATTGAGCAGTATCTAATCTTTATAAGCTTTGTGGCTTTAGCGAGGAGCACGGCGGTATTCTATGAATGACTTTGAGTTTGATGCCTGTAATCTTCTTCATAATGGGTCGTGTGGAGAGGGAATAGAGAAGCCCTGCCATTGAAAGGATAGATTTTCACGACCATATTATGGTCCGATGGGCCCCCACAAGAAAACTAACATAGCCAAACTGCGTCGCCAACCTGAGAAATAACCAGTAAATAACTACTAGTTCAAAAATTGAAGATTGTTAAATTGCAACTAGGATACATATTTTATTTGAATTCTATCCAGGATAAATTGCATTGACAGGATAGACTGGGACGGTTAGGTAGGTCACCCGAGGCTGACCTCAGCCCTGCCAGTCGTACCTCTGGGAACGTCCCCGGAGGACCTGGGCTAATCTATACCACTACCCGGGCTGGAATAGAAAGTCGGGCTGTTTCCTGCTAAAAGTTTGATACGACGGCCCCTCTAACAAGTAAGGCATATATGATAAATGAGTTTCTCTTTGTGGAGGAAGATTAACTTTCTACCAGGCACCATGGATCACTGGAAAAATAGTAGAAAACGGCCAAAATAAAGGGAATAGTATGCCGCTAAAGGGTCAGTTAGCCCGCTAGAGAGATACAACTCACCGGGAGGAACCCATTTATCTTACATACCACATACCATCACAACAATTGGCCAGTTTGTGTGATTTTGTAACTTGCAATTGTCTTCAATGTATTGGACATCGCACGCTTCAACAACACTGGCTGCATAGAAGAATAATTTAGTTGAAGGAGTTTTTGCCGTTTTGAAGTTTGGATCACCGCGTATCGGAGGGAAGAAAACAACCTTTCGCGGCCAGACTCCCCAGGCCAATTCTCCTCTTCTTTTTGCCGAATTCTACGATCCGTATTTCCGTAGAAAGACATGGTACAGGCTTGGTGAATAGTCTGTTGCTTCGTTCACTACGATAATCATCTTCACAAAAAACCTACACTATACACACACACAACACCCACCAAAACAATATCACACTGTCGAAGGCATGAGACCTCCGAACTCTAGTTTTAACATGGAACATGTGGTTTGTAACGTTACAGCATCAGTACAACATTACCACTGTAACGTTACAAACCACGTCATATGCCAAAAAATCCATTCTCTATTTGTTGTCAGATTCAACCCATAGTAATTTAATTAACGTTGAGCATAAAATACCCCCAACACCTCAAAACACACTGATCATGACAAACAAGCTGTTTAGCGTCAACAGGATCATTCCGATGCCTTCCTGTCCTATGCAAATGAAGTTTAGACCCCTGTCTTCGCAATGCATTCTGGGGATAGGAAACTCGTGAATGACGACGGCACACTCAAGTTTTTCAACTTATTTTTATGCAGCCACCAACGCATAGGACAAACGCATGGATGAGAAATAGATATGAGTCAAGTGAGGAAATTTGTGTTAAGTCCCAGAGCATACAATCACTGGAATGACAGGGTTCAAACGCGGACCTCTTTGTTCCGAGCCGAACGCTCTGTCGTTGTGCCACACGACCCACACTTCCTTATTTGTACGTCTGTTAAGCATTGTGAATTTGTGATAATCTGATACGTTGTTGGCTCTTCCTTGTTGCTTGTTTGTTTGTTTTTTGTTTGTCTATTACAGTTTGTTTGTTTGTTTGTAACAAGAAATATCAAACACACTTATTCTTATAATAAACCATAACTTGATACAAAATGAAAGTATCTTGGACATAGTATATCTAAATCTAAACAAACAAAAAGTCTTGTCTACAAAATAAGAGAAACAATAATATCAAGCATAATGCAAAATGAAGTCATGATGGAAATTTTTAAAACAAAATGGCTCTTTGCGTCAAAAATACGAGTTGGGTCAGGAAGGATATTTTGTGAATATTTATTTTTGAAAAATGAAAAATACACCATTTTAAGAATAAATCATATGAAATAGAAAGGAATATTCATCTTCCCCCATGTCTTACACAACAGGTGCTGAGTAGAGAACAGTACGACCTGTTGTTTCCTGTCAGTGGTCACGTGAGCCCGGGGTCTTTGGACATCGCCGTTATGTTCCTGCTGATTCGCTACTTGTGCCGGACAAGGTTAGTAGGAAACACCAATAACAAGAAATCTGAGATTTTAAACTTCTGTCGGCAGTATATATGCAATCTATGGCTTCCTGAATTCTCCTATGTCGACCACTATTGTATAATTCCTGCTTACGTCCAGACTCGAGCTCGTACAGCCACAGCACTTTTACTGGCACTACATAAGTCTTGTTGTCAAAATTTAAAAGTATACGTATCACTTTTGAAGTTCTGTATTCCCTTTCTTCAAGCAGAGGTTTCTACCATGCCGTTTTCTGTGAGTAGCGACAGAAAAAGGGGCATATGATAGAAAGGTTACAATCTTCCTCACGTACATCTGATTCTAGACTATATATCGGCCATGCATGTGCATGAAATCAAAGAACTGGAAAGGTAACATTTGCAATACTGAGTAATGTTTTACACAACTGTTTTTAGAGTTCAAACTTGTTCCAACACAAAGTAGAAACTCACCATAAATTCCCGTCAACCTTCATCAGAAGGCTGATGGATTCTACCAACACAGATGAGCTTTCATTCGAACTGGTCTGTTTATTGTTATGGTGAGCAGCCAGCTTTGCCCTGCTACATTATGCAACCCAATACCACAGGGTGTCTGCTACAGCACAGGTTACCATGGCTACAGACGCCTGGTCCAGGTCATAGGCATTATTTATCATAGACGCAACCGAGCAATATGTTTTCCTTCTGCGAAGGTAAACATGAATATACGATGAACGATTTGTCCTCCCTAGGTCCATCGCGTGGGAGGGCTGGGACGTCTACCCCTCTCCCGCCCAGAAAACTCCAGTCCACGACATCGTCCGCGTCCATCGTATCTACCAAGACCTGGTCGTCAAGGCAACCACGGCCGTGACGTCAGACAGTTTCGTCACCATGTGGGAGGAACTGTCGTCTGCGATCCTGAGACTGGGCGGGCTGAGAGACCGGGTGGAGCGGTGGAGGGAGGACGTACCGTCAACGGAACAGCCCACCAGGGAACGAGAAACTGACTCGACCTCAGATTCGCCAGAGGGTGCGAGCGCGCCCGCCCATTGGTCAGCTGATTATCCTTCTGAAGTTCAAGGACTGCCAAGGTCATTCAGCTGCGAGTCAGACGCCAGTTCGGAAGGCAGCGCGCTGTGCTCACAGGAACTTGAGGCGCCACCTAGCGAGTCAACAACCCCCAAGCAGGCACAGCCAGGTATGCAGTCGTATAATGTAATGATTGTCTTCATAATATTAGATTGACGGTCCTACATTTGCATTTTCAACGATTCTTTGGGCCATTGGGCAGGGGTCGTTCACAGGTTAAAAAAAATATAGCTAAATCCAAAAGCTACACACTGCACCTTATTGGCGCACATAACAATACTATATACAATGCATTAGTATTCAGTTTTCTAAATCTTTCAATTCAGCCGGTGCCGCAGCGCCTCCTAGTGGAGTGCAGCAGTACTACCTAAGCAACGTGCAGAACGTGCAGATCGGCATGCAGACCCAGATGAGCATCGCGTCAGAAGGGTCCCAGGGCAGAACTTCGTCCGAAATAGCCGCAGGTAAAATGACATATATATAACCCTGTTTTAATGTTGTTACCAATGTTCAAATGCACCAACCGCAACAGGAGAAAGGTTGAAGCTTATTTTCTTATTTCTATTACTATCTATTAATAAGTCATGTTTTGGTGACGACTCAGGGGCCCCGCTAATTAGTTTGCTAGGAATTATGGAATTGCAAAGGGTTCTAATTCTCCATAGAGCTATGGATGCATAGTTATAAGATCTATTTTTGGTGACGCATCAGGGGCAAGATAAGTAGCAGATATCATATCCACAGGAATGTGCCATTGATATCACGTATAGATTGGTGATTGTTCTCTTTAATAGTAACCGTCTTTAATTTGCCCTGCTCTAGAGGATCATTTAGAGCTGGTCCTGACGTCCTGCCGGTCGGTTCTCCGTACGGAGTACAGGCGGAACCTGAGCCGGATCCAGCCCCTGCCGTGGAACAAAAGCTTCTGTGTGCCGATAGATGACGTGTACACTAACCTGGACCTTCTGGAGGAGACGATGGAGGGGTTCAAGGTCGGTTTTTATTCTTCACCCTTTAAGTAAGATCGCGTGACGTAACGGCAGAGTGTTTGTCTCAGAACCAAGAGGTCCTGAGTTCAAACCCTGCCATACCACAGATCTTGGTCGCTTGGGAAAGGCACTTAATTACCAGGCTTTCCTCACTTTACTCAGGTTAAAATTAGTATTTCATTGTCCTCTGTGTTGGTGGCGGTATAAAAATAAGCTTGGAAAACTTGAGTGTGACGTCACCACGTCTTTTGATTATATGTTGGAATAACAAATACACTGTTAATAAAGTAGAGGTAGCGGTTTAGGCTTCGGCTTATTTTTGTTTACACATTTTTATTTGACTTTCTTTTCTGTACTGGTAACTTTTTGTGGGATGTATTGGATACTGCGCTTGGCCAGTGATACAATCTTGCTAATTTGATACTGTCTTGCAGTATTGTCTTGTAGAAAGTACATTATCATGCCATTTTTACACAGTGAGTAAAACCAACACTCAGTCACTTCATAATAGTATTCATGTTCAGGAAACTAAACCAGGTTATACACGTTAACATGTAGGGTTTAATCTCGAGAATATTTTTATTTACGGGTTACATTCTGGCCTTTTAGCCAATTTCTGTTCCAAGGGGTGATTATAAAGTATTTGGTTTATAAAAGACCCCCCCCCCAACAAAAAAAAATTAAAAAAGAGTGGATGCATGTCTATAGCTCTTTTGGGGGTGGATTCTTCTATTCTTATGCCTGTTGCCTGCTGTCTCCCTATAGGTTAACCGTGTGAGTCTTCGGTCCATGGAAGACATCTTCAGACCAAGAAGGAAACTAGGAAAACGCCGGCCGTTACGGATCGTGATGCAGGGACATGCAGGCGTGGGGAAGACGACGTCATTGATCAAACTGGCCGTGGATTGGTCAACGGACAAGGTCCTATCATTGAAAAGGATCAATCTCGTTTTCGTGCTAAGGCTGCGTCTGATTGGTCAGGAAATGGGTATCATCGACGCCATCTTTGACCAGCTGATGCCAAAGGGTTTTCCCTTCACAAGGGAAGACTTAGCGAAGTGTCTGCAAGAAAAGCAAGACGAAGTACTGATCCTACTAGACGGGTACGACGAGTTCGACTCGGCAAGGTGTCCTGAAATCTCAGAGCTGTTGAGGGGAAGGATGTATCCACGAGCGGTCGTGGTGACGACGACACGCCCATCGAAGATCGACGAGGTCCAGCCCGTGGCAGACACGGTGGTTGAGATCACCGGGTTCTCGCCTGACAACGTCAGACAATATCTCCAGCGACACTTCCAGGGTCAGAAGGACAAGGTTGACGATCTTCTGCAGCATCTAGAGCCGCATATCGCCAACAGAGGCATCGCCACCATTCCCATGTTCACCATGCTCATCAGCGTTCTGTATGAAGACAAACCTGACATTGTCCTGCCTGCAACAATCACAGGGTTGTACAAAGAACTCATGAGCTGCATCATCAAGCGGTACCACGTCAAACATGGCGAAGGAGAAGGAAGTGGAGACATCACCAGCTTACTTGAGACAGTGAGCAAGGTCGCCTTCGAGTGTCTGCTATCTGACCAAGTGTCTTTCGGAGAGGCCGATCTACTCGGTAAGATCAATGACCAACGGGTGGCAGAACTTGGTGTCTTCACGTATGACGATAAACATGCGCATAGCAAGGTCAACGGAGGTCGCCATCTGACGTTTTCACACAAGACCATTCAGGAGTATTTGGCTGGTTGCCACTTTGCCAACGTACTCACAACGTCGAAAAAGGAGACGAGAAAGTACTTGACGAGCATCGACACACTACAGCGAGCGTCCGATTTAAAGTACGTGATCTTGTTCGCTTGTGGCTCATCAGAGCGAGCGGCGACGGCTTTGATCGAGCATCTCCTCCGTATCTGGAAGAACGCCTCCGGAGAAACTAAGAACCAGAAGCATCAAGACTTCGTCAAGCTCGCCCTGCAGTGTCTGTACGAGAGCGCGGCAAAAGACAAGATACAGCTCCCCGTTTTCGAGCTGTTTCCCTCGGGGAAGGTCGAATTCTACGACGTGAGCGCGGACGTGGTGAAGTACCTCGCCTACTACCTGCAACACTTGAAACAAGTGGAGGCAGTCACCGAGGTGAGTCTGGCAGACGTACGGGGCACGTCGCTCGGAGACGCCGACGACCTCGGGACAGCGCTCCTCCGCCTGAACGTCATGCAAACACTTCGCATATCGAGAAGCCCGCACTTCAACATAAAGCCGATCATCGAAAAACTCGAGAAAATAACTTCGCTCCAGCATTTGCATCTCTGTGGAATGGACCTGAGACAAGAGGGTAGTACGTTAGCTGTAGCGCTGAAGAGAATGCACAGAGCAAAAAGAACACTACGAACACTTCGCGTGGCGGACAACAACTTTTCAAAAGAAGCGTCAGAGTCACTGTTGGCGGCGATTGGGAAACTGACCTCCTTAACAGATGTAGACGTATCTGTCAACGACCTTGGGGATACACTTGAGACGCTGAGTGCCAGTCTTCAGCATCTGGGTGAGCTTCGAACCCTGAACCTTCGAGAGTCCGACCTGACACAGAAAGCGTGCGTTGCGCTTGGAAACGCGTTCAGGACGTGTCCGTTAGGTCAGTTAGAAGAGTGCAATCTGGAAGGGAATCAAGTAGATGACCGAGCAAGCGTGCAGGTGCTGCTGGAAGGATTGGGCTCGTTGGCAAATCTACGCAACCTCAACCTGAAAGGATGCCGGATAGGTCCTGATGGGGCTGTGACTTTGTCGGGAAGCCTACAAACACTTCCTCACCTGAGAGTCGTGAATCTAGAAGGGAACGGTCTTGACCTCCGTGCGGCAAAGAGCCTGTTCACGTCGCTGCACCACTGTCCTGAGTTAGAAGCAGTCGACTTGAACACCAACTTCCTCGGGAGCCAGGGTGTTGCAGAGTTCGCGGCGAACTTTGAGAGGGCCGGAAGTCTGACGAGTCTCAACCTGTCTCACAACGTGGTGGGAGACGAGGGGGTGGAAGCGGTTTCGAGACAGGCCCACCATCTGCCGCACCTGCAGTACCTGGAGCTGAGTGACAACCCTGTGACGAACGACGGTTTCGGGTGAGTTTCGGCTCTTTGTTGGGATCTGATAGCCTGGAATCCATCCGTGGATTCCTGCCTTCAAGGCAGAGCGAAGGAACGGCGGGGAGACACAGCGTTCACGAATGGATTCCAGGCTAGGGATATGATACACCAGAGTAGAAAAAAAAACTAGACTGCCTTCTCTTGTGTTATCCTTGTTACCACGGCGAAGGAGATATCCTTCCGCGGGAGGATACAAGTACTGTGTTCCGTCGTGTTTGTATGTTCGCAGCACATGTGGGTTTGACGGATTTTTTAAAGATTTAATTATATGATTAGTTCTTGGGGTCCCCGTGCTATATGTGGTATCATCTATCAACAGATTTTTTCCACGCTACTTTCAGGAAGGGGAAAGGAGGGGAAGCCTGTATTGCGCATTATAATTGTTATGTCTAAAATTGTCAGCAGTTGTTGTAAACATTATGCTTCATATACTTCTTGGGGTTTGGAATCACCAATTTCAGCTAGGTCAGTCTTTATCACAATGTTAAAGAAAGTACCATTATGTGACATTTTTGCAGGGCATTCTTTAAGAATCTGCCTAAGATTGCGGAACTGAAGGAGCTGGACATCTCCGGTCCGTACGGCGGTAAACTCTCCGTGACTGACGACTGTGTGGACCAGCTATCGGAGGCGTTGTCCCGGGTTCCAAACTTAGAGGTGCGACTCTACAATTAATCTAACTGTCGCTAATTTTCTCTGTTTTCTGTTTCTTTGTTATTCTTTTTTTTGCCACTTATTCAGTCGAACGATATTGCTGGAAAAAGTTAATACAATTGTGCAATTTTGTCTAAAAGCATTGAAGTTGGCACGAATGTAGTTGAAAATATTTTACCCGTATGTGCATACGGGAGTATATAAGTTTCTGCCCTGGAGCATCATGACGGCACCTTAAATTTACCCCCCCCCCCACACACACAAAAAAAAACATTATAGTGCTCTGATGAATAGATAGAGAGGGGCAAAAAAAATGTTTTATCCAGTATAACATTTACGACCACTAACTTCACTTGACAGGTGTTACATCTACGACGCGTTGCCATGACAACTGATGGGTTTGACACTTTCATGGATGCAGCTGAGAATCATGGGAAATTGACAACCGTATCGTGAGTACATTGTTGTTTACAATAGTCCCAACTCGGAAATGTATTTTTGAACTCTACAACACACTCAGTACGTTGATCTATTTGACATTCACATTAAATCAATGTTGCCTTGGTGAACATAAACTTTTAAAAGCATGTATCATTGATTCTGTGGAGTCTAAGGCTTGTGGAACCTTTGTGTGTTAGATAATGTCATAAATGCACACATCTAAACCAAAAGAAAACACAGTTGTATCTGTAGCCCCTGTCACACAAATCAAAATATGGTCCCCAAAATTTCCAAACACCTCCTAATAAAATAACCATGGTAAGGAATAGATCGGGAGCAAAGTTGGCTGTAATGGACCTATACCATTATTACGTCACAGTTTGTTTACCGCAATGAATGCCGGTCAATCGACGTTTATGTTGTACAGGGGTGCGTAGCGCGGTGTGTGTTTGTGTAGCGTTAGCCTAATATAAGGCTTTTGATACAGTACTACTTTCGTCTTATGTCACAACTAAATCACCCACGCGGCATGTATGCTGTGTCAACATAACTAGACGCAGCAAAAATTTAGACATACCTTACTTTGAAAACTTTGAAATGATCTTTATTCTTTAACTGGCCGTTCTAGAATGTTCTTTAGAACAGGTAAACAAACTGTGACGTAATAATGGTATAGGTCCAATATAACTTTGGTTGGTTGGTGGTCGGGGGGGGGGGTTCTGAATTGTGACAGGGTCTTTAGATAGATGTAATATTCCATAATCAACTAATTGTATTTTGCGTATAATTGACGTCATATCCTGTTCCCACAGATACAGGAGAGAGAATCTGCCGGCTCTGTCAGCCTACAGTGACTCCAGACTGTTGGTGCTCTGGTAACCAGGGCGTTCTACCACTGCGATTCACATGTACAAAATGTATCTCTACATGTACATATTTGAATGGATGTAGATCTTTTGGTCGTGACAATACAGTATCACATTGACAAGACGGTATCAAATTCGCAAATCGGTATAAATTCTCGTGGCGTCGTGTGACGTACATGTAATTGTCGGGTATTCGGCTCGGAACCCATGGCCATGGGTCCTGGGTTTAATTCCACCTATATACATGCCCAGACGTTGTGCCCTTGAGAAAGGCACTTAACGCAACTTTCCCCCAACATGTCAGTTATTTTCCGATCTTTCGGTAGATGAGCATTATCGGAAGAAGGAGAACTGGTCAGACAGTCTCTGGGAGAAAATACTAATTCGGGCAGCCAATTTAATCGTCCCCGACGAAATCTGCTTGGAGATTATATAATGCGACGTACCTATAATGTTCATAGATGTATATTGTTGCTATTCATTGTTTAATCTCAAGTGATAGCGCAGCGCTTCAAATTTGTAAAACGCTACATATTTTGTAAAGTGTACTTCGGGAACAACCTTAGACCATCGTTGGCAAACGAGGATCTTTCTGTGTATTAGGTAGGAATAGTGATTTAAGAGTGATGATTTTGACTTCAGCAAATATTAGGTAGACTACATTTTGTATAAACATTAGGATTTAAAGCATTGAAGCATCTCTTATAATTATCTGAATACCCAGGATCGACGCTTTGCTTAATGATCATGTGAAGAAATAATCTAGTTTTAGATAAAATATGCAATGCAGCATTATTTCTTCTTTTCTTTTGTATATACAATAAAATGCCAAGTAATTGACATCGGTGTTTGAAAATTAATACTATTTAGTGCCCACAAAGAAACCTATAAAGATTTGATTATTTTTAGCCAGCACATACGGGGAATGGAGTCGAAAGATTGAAATATATCTTCACCAAACGCACGAGTTCATACTCATCGATACACGAGCAGGGTAGTAAAAAAACTGTTTCGATGTGGAACAAAAGTCTTGGCAGCGGTGGGATTCGAACCAACGCCATCGAAATGACTGGTGCCTTACACCAGCGCCTTAGACCGCTCGGCCACGCTACCCACATGAGAAATGCTTGACAGCATGTCTTCATAAGTCACGGAAATGTGTTAAAGTCTTACACAACATTGGAATACTAGTACCGCCGACTAGTTCTTAATCCTGACATTAATCAGACCTGAACCAAAAAGTGCCAAATGTAAATGGAGCAAATAGAGTTCTATGATCACACACTTTCGACAAGTAATTTTGTAACTAACAAATTATAACTTAGTGTTTCTTATGATTATGAAAATGAAATCCCAATCACAAAAATTATATCAGTCGATTCCAACATTGACATAACGACTGTCACTTAACAGAAAAGTCCATTATGGCATTTGTACAAAAATTGAACGCCTTACACAACTCCAACTCAGATCTTTGACACAAACACACAACTCACAGAGTCCCTTCACACGTTCATTGACAAATCTAAAAGATTCTGTGTTCCTTCCACACTAAACGTTGAGTCGGGCGGGGGAGAGGAGCTGCAGTCCCGAAGATTAACCGCCCCAACCGCGGTAGACGTCGACTGGGCACCAAGCTAATGCTGTTTAACCTGTTAGGCCAACCATGGGCCAATAGAGTAGCTAGGCTGACGGCCCCTAAGGGTAGTAACGTCCTTCAATCATTGTTATTGACTCGCTGCCAGTTAACGTTGGGGGTCATCGCAAAGTTTCAAAACTTTCTTACAGGGGGACTTTCCTTACAAATTAATGCTCCTAGCTTTACTTCAAACCATTGCAACATATAGACCAGGGATAGTTTTGGGTCTTATCAATTATTATAGTCTACATGTGAGGTCATGACGAATAGCGTTTCAGCGTAATCTGCAGGTATCGCGGTTAGGTCGGGTTTTCTGCGAGGCTGCTGCTCTTCCCCGCCCGCCTGGCGAGGTTCCCCGGGTAGGTTTTTTACGGCTAGAATTTGATTCGTGGTGGGTTCCAATCAACTTTTTGACTGACATCGAGTGTCAAAAACTCATTAGACTACGTGTAACACTCCTATCGGGTAGCCTGTGGTACTAGGCAGGGGGAAACTATTAGACTGAGGATTCCTCTGCCCTCAGAGTCCCAAAGACAACCCTCACCTGCCCCAACCACGAAAGACTGGATACCAGGTTAGTGTGAGCTTGTCAAACAAAGGGCGAGGTCGATGTGGTGAAGGCCAGTTCCCTTGTTGCCAGCTGGGACATTTTAAAGCCGTACACTATTGACTGTAGTATAGAAAAGGTAGGGGTGAGAAGTCATTTTTCGTGTCACTGGATGGCACCAAGTCAGTTACGTGGCACGTATAAACTTGGCAGATATATTTTTGTATGAAAAAAAAAACAGGAAAAATTTAACATAAACGTAGACACCATTTATAACAACAGAGAAAAAGCCTGAACAAATTTCCACTTCCGAGTCATATATTCCAAACTTTCTGGCTTGAGTCGAAAGAAAAATGGATTTATCATAAAATGTGAACGTTTTTGTACATTCTATGGAAAGCAAGAGGAAGACAAGAATTCACCCACGCAACTCTGATTATGTACAGTTCTAGTGTGTTTTCTCGTCACTTATCTAGACTTAGTCTAGAAAGTAGTTTCCAAAAGCGCATCGATATCACCTGCATGATTTGGGATTTGGTGACTAGTACTTCATACTTACTTGATAATTGCCAAAATTTACTAACTTGTGCGCCATGTTTATGAACGATAATTTTTATTTCCCGTTCATGCAGCACTACTGGACTATGGAATCCTGTTTTCCCTTTCAGCATTACTGGACTATGGAATCCTGTTTTCTCTTTCAGCACTACTTGACTATGGAATCCTTAGTAAACGCCCCTTGGCTTTCGCCGCCATTTTTGATATGACGTTGGGTCTGCCGACTGCTCCAACAACATTTCACTTGTAAAATGAGCAAAATACACGTCAATGATCATGTAGGATAGCTAAAAAAACTGTAGAAGGACTCACAAATGTATGGATGCTTGGAAGATGTGAAGCTCGTCAGTCTTCAATTGTTGGGAGTCGATCATGCACAGGTCTTCACTGCTATGCCGTAGTGGATGAACTAGGTGTATCTAAGTTTAAATGTGAGATAGCACTGTCTTTATTTGCCCAAAGGGCTAGGTGACAAGCCTTTGATAATTAACGTACCAGTCGGGTGATGGAACATTTATAATTCTATTGAGTTGCAGTCACGAAATCCAGCTCTTAGCCGTCGTAGGGGTCAGAAGGGTGATATCGACACACCTACGGAGGACACACCAACGCCCGACAATAGATAAAGATACACACGTACATCACAAAATCTCAACAAAATATATCCTTCACCAGGTTTCCAAAGGGGATTAAGATAATAAAATTCGGCAAAAATAGAGTTATGACTGCCCAGGGGACTGGGTCCACCGTTAGAGTTTCATCGCTGGCAAATGAACTCCAATGTGTGGTTGCCATTTTTTCTCCCTGTATTGTTTGTCTACTTTTTTTGCCCCGGCAGCCAGACCCGTAGGGCGGCGGGCGTTCGGGCCTTGGGTAGCCCGTTCCCGACTCACGCCCTTCCCGCCTAGCTAGGGTTTGCGCAGGGGCTCAACGGATAGCGTAGCATGGATGTCAGACCCACACTTTCCTCAAAGTTATCCAGCGTGGCTAGCGTGCCATGGGTCTGGCCTTATCTAGGTTACGGATAGCGAGAGTGCGTGAGCCGGGGACGGGCTGCCCAAGGCCCGAACGCGCCCGCGTAAACTCTCCGTCCGCCGCCCTACGGGTCTGGCTCCAAGGATACTGTTTCTGAATCCGAGGTATTAGTCTGATGGGGAATAAATTAAATATGGCCAAAACGTAATGACACTGTAATGCTTGATTTTTTTCAAGAAAGACAAAATCATGTCCCTTATTAAAGAAATGGAGTCCCATGTACACATATCACCACTAACTCCATGTTTTTCTTCGACATGGACGAGATAAAGACACATGGCTCGAACGGATTCTAACGTTGAGCTACAAAGTTTGACTTGTAAGGCATGCGACACACTGTGCAGGAAGTTTTTGTTTGTTTGTTTGTTTGTTTGTTTGTTTGTTTAAGGCCGACGACTTATTATTGAATGCCCATTTCATGTCATTTTCTCGTCGCCATTTTGACATGACGCTGGAATGAAATTTTGTAATGCCAACTGTTTCAACGCCTTTTTTTTACATTTTATCAAAAGACACGTCAATGATTACGTAGAATAGTTGACAAATACATGTAGTAGGAAAACTTACTTAAGTATGGATGCTTGGAAGATCTTAGCTCGTCGGTGAGAGAACTTGTTGAGAGTGTTGGGAGTCCGGCGTGTACAGTTCTTCACTGCCGTGCCCGTTCCATAGTGGTTGAACTAGGCACATCTAAGAATAGATGTGAGGTTACACTGCCTTTTATTCTATTTGCCCCCATACGTACAGATGATAAATATCTGATAATTACTGTCCCAGCCAGGTAAAGGTTAAGATTGACTGATTGATAAGATCAATAACTGTCTCTGGTCAATATGGTACGCTTACCACCGGCTGTCTCCATTTGAAAGTAAAGAAATGCTGTTTTAAGATCCTGTGTTACCATGCCTACCGAAAGGAAAATATTACAAACTTTTCTTCTGTTGTTCGGGCTCTTTTAATATATCTGACAAGTTGATGCGTGCCGCGTGATTGGATCGGTGTCATCCAGTGACACGAAAAATAATTCCTCACCCCTCCCTTGAGGGTTTGTCACCGACCAATTAGGTGGAGCTAGCACTAGCCTGGTGTCCAGTCTATCGTGGTTGGGGCGGTTCTCTTCGGGGCTGCAGAAACTCTTCCCCGCCCAACTCAGCTAGGTTCCGCGGTAGGTTTTGCGCAACGGGAGTTTAATTGGGATAATCAACTCTTCGCGTGAAAAACTCTATCATAATCAACTCTTCGCGTGGAAAACTCTATCACAGACGTAATAATAATAACACTCCTACCGGGCGGTCTGTT